AGGGGGGCAGCGGCCTTTAAGCAAAACGCTGCCTAACAAAGCTATGCTTGAAGGCGGAAGCACAGTCTGATCAACTGTGTGTACCTGCAATAGGTCAGGCCCCTGAGCTGACCAGATTAGAAAAGCCAGACCCCTGAGCTGGCAGATTAGAGCACAGCGTGTTTTGCAAAGCAACAGCCTTGACATTCAGTTTTTGGAAGTTTTGTAAAACGGTGTTTGCGTCAGTTGAGACATGTGGCATGATCTGTGCAATCCTTGCATAAGTGTGGTGAATCCAGTCACATGTCTGCAGCAAGCTTTCAGTAAGCGGTGGAGATGCTTGAGTGCTATAGAGAGCTTTGTTGCAGTCTTATATTCAGGTTCTCAGTTGAGAAAGCAACCGCTATTCTTCAGAGCAAAGATTTGCACAAATTGCTGTTTAATACTTTGATGTTTTCCCTTAACAACAAAAGCTTGAAGACAAGAAAGAAAATGAAAGAGATGAATTGCAGCCGCCACTCATGGTCCGCTCAAGTGTGTGTGTGTGTGTGTGTGTGTGTGTGTGTCTGTGTGTGTCTGTGTGTGCGTGCGTGCGCGCGCGTGCGTGCGTGCGTGCGTGTGTGTGCGTGTTTGTCAAGTGGATTGCGCTGAGGCAGGCTTCACATGCTTGAGCTACGGCGGGCTCTCTTCGACCACAGCTACAACAACCAGCACGAGGCAGGAGCTTGTTGAATTCTAGAAGAGGTCACCGCTGTCAAGAGTGGGAGGGCAATGCTACTGCAGAGCATGCGAGTCTCATTCATGTGGAAAAGTTCAGCTCTTTGCCGGTCTTGAATTCTCAGTGTCATCCTCCGGAATTATGTTCGCAGGAATTTGGCACCGCTCTTTGAGCCAGTGGATGGTGGTGAAGGCCGTGCTTGCCGCGGGGGCTCAATGTCCGACAATGCTCCCAGCAACTACCTGGTCATGTCAGGCACGAAGTGTTTCGAACAAAGCTCTCTTTGGATTGCTCATTTATTTGACCGGCTTCGGCAAGGTGTGCAGGATATTGGGGGCTGTCGACGTGAGTGCGTGCAGGCTCGATTCACTGTATGGGTGGAAGCTCAGATCATGATGCTGCATGTCATGCTATGTCAGCACGCTTCGACCTTGTGACCCGTTCTATGCTGGAGCTAGCTGCTGTGCTGGAAGGCCGCCAGCTGTGTGGGGATTGAGTATAGCCCGGGCAGATGCGAAGTTTGGATCCGTCCAGATGGGATTAACGCGACGGTGGCAACCTGCTGCAGTCATCTGCAGTCTATGATTGCTGGAGGGTTGGAAAAGTATGCCCTCACCCGTCATGTGTTGCTTCTCACTCCGCTTGCACCTGCCAGCTCAGGCAATAACTGGCTTCATATGCGAACGCCGCACGGCAATCAGTTGGTGTCCTGTGTTGTGATGGTTGTGTTGTATAGTTGTATTATTACACAGCACTATACATACTTTCCCGAGGTAGAGTACGTAACGTGATGTCTTTCCTTCGCGTATGGAAATTTAAAGGAAGAAATTCTTACTAGTTTCAACCACCAAACACGCTTCTCGGGTTACATAGTTTTTCCACATCGCATGGAGAGCATTTGGCATGCACTCGCGTGACACATGTCAGCCTTCTACAGTGGCCTGCATGCCGAGCAGACGCAGACGCTTTACATGATACCTAGGGCAGCTAGGCATGCTCTGGATAGGCTCTCCATTTCTTGCTTGTTCTAGACTGGCTGATTTCCAGAGCAGTGTGGCCTGCAAAAAGATTTTGAGACAAGCGTGGGCTTGGCACACCCGCCAAATGTATGATCTGCCAGCAGGCATAGCACTAGACTTTGTCTAGCAGAGGCTGCTGACGGCGTTGCTTGTGACTCATGACGTGCTTTCCCCTACTGATTGCTTCTAGTCTTGCGCTTATTATTGTCAAGCTTGCATCCTCCATCCTGTATCAATGCACACGTGCGACATCATGCGCTGCACCTCAATGCCTAAGCCACGAGCAGACTAAGATCTCATGATGGCCTCACAGTTGAACAGAGATGTCATCAGACGTTGTGTACGAATGACTTGAGACATCCCTGCCTTGGACTAGCCAATGTCGACAGTTCCGCAGGTTTGACTGGAGAGCCCCGTCGATTAGACTTGGCTGTCGTCCTTCCGTGATGTTCGACCGGCAGAGAGAGAAATTCAGCTTATGCCTGAACCCACCCAAGGTGGGATACAGGTGAGCTTCACCTGTCCTTGAGCATAATTAGTGTCAAGGTGCGATTCGGCTTCGATCACAAATGAAGTGCTAAAAGCTTTTTTAAGCATATGTTTGTGGCTTGCTCAGTGGCGGTGGAACCTTCAAAGTTTTGATGGGCGTTGCCCTCTAGTTTTGAAACAAGCTCAAATGTAGCTTGAGTCCTGGACAAGCTCTTGGGTCGTGCACTTTTCACGGGCAGACGATCCTCTCACATTGCGGGCTCGTGGCATGCATCGATTGATGTCATCCTTACAACAGGAGGCTACAACCAAAGGTTGTGCAGCTGTGCAGTGGGCCATACAGCGCCGTACAGTGCAGGTTCAGCTGTTTTTGATAGGACTGCAGGAAACCGGTTCATCTTACAGCAAAGAGCCGTCAGGCAGCAGCTCACCAAGTAGCTCACGCCTAGACCAGATCATTGCACAGCCTTGGGGGCAACAAGGTCGGAGTGCATATTTCAACGGCGTGAAGGGTGCGTAGACCGGAGGGTTCGTGCAGCAGTAAACGTAGTCACAAGAATCCAAACCTGGGAATTATGCTGATTATAGATCTTCCTTTATAACTCAGCCGCAGTCAGTATCCGGTGCAGGCGGCAGTAAGTTCCCCCTAAGCTGTCTCCTTCACAGGATTGGTAAGACCCAGATTTCCAACCTGTGATGCTTTGTGGCCATGCAAGCGGCAACTGCGCCACAATGAACATTTAAACTGACGCAGCCCACCCGACACCTCAAGCAAGCCACAAGTTCCAACGTTGTGGCAGCAATTGCGGAACGGTCTGCCTCTGTGAGGGATTTAGCCTCGCATGAGAGAAGGCAGCAAATCAAGATAATACTGCCAGCTGGGGGAACCTTTGGCCAGTGATGCGACACTGAGCCCTCAACATTAGTTTGTATTTCCACGTGTATGAGGAGTCAACGTCATAACCCGAACAAGTGGGGCATAACAGGAATTTCGTGATAGGAACCAGGCGCGTGCGCGCGGCACGAAACAGGAACCAAGCACGCTGCTCGTGAGCTTCCGAGCCATACTGTGAGGAGGCGCCAGGTGAGAGCTCGACTTTCTGGCCGAATCACGACCACAGGCTTTCCCCATATACAAGTGCCGAGTTCCGGTCATCAAAAGGCACGGTTCAGAGTGTGAGTCCGAAGTGTAATAAAGTTTTGAAACAGCTTGAAATAATTATCGCCCCGAGTTTGCATAATGGCAGAGATTACAAAATTTCCTGGCGGTCGCGGAGAATCCATCATGCAAGTGAATCATGCGGGAGGCGAAAAGCCTCAGTAGCTTCAGTAGCTTTTGCATAGATGTACACTAGCTATTTGCGCCGGTGCAAGCTTTGGCCCACAGAAGCAGGGCTTGCAACGTCCGGAACATGAGCGTTGGCCATGGAGATGCACGTAAGTGCGCTTGAGAGTGCGACTCCCAGAAAAGATGTGGGCGAGCCGTCCAACAACGAGACAACAGCCGTGAAGACGTTGCTTGCTCTTTCTCCGGAGACTGCCCAGGAAGTTTACAGGCAACCGAGAAGGGCTTGCGGGTGCAGTAGCGGTGTTCGTGAAGCAAGACCTTGAAGGTGAAACAGGCAATAGTGCGCAAGGTGCGCTTTTTTTGTAGGCGTGGCCGTGTCAGCAGACAGGTTTAGCAGATTCGACAATTAATTGGCATATTCTTGTGTCTGCGTTCATTGAGGATGTTCTTGCAAAGGCAACAAGCCGCAGTCTAACAAGTCTAGCTTCAAAGAAACCTTTGCCCTTTTAGCAAGTCGCAGCATGACAGCACTCGCCCGGGCTGGGACCAGATGTTGACAGTTGCAGAATGCTGCACCTCAGCCCTGCGAGAATTCGAGATGATGGTCTTGAAGCCTCAGAGCAGCAGGAACAACAACAATAATGAAACTTTTGCATGCTTTCAGTTCGCTTTCATGCCCGGCGCAGGCTACTAGGTAACGGGTTCGCGAGCTTTGCGTCGGACACGCGTGCTGTCACTCGGATCCTGAGCAAGCTGGCCAAGGACCTGCCTGCCATTGCAGAATTGATGCATCATATCCTGCTTGAATGTTGTTGATTTTGCATTCCCTAGGAAGTAATTGCATTCGGCGACTAGGTTTAGGCAAATACGACACTCCCGGTCCCTGCTGCAACCCCAGATGAACTTTTCACATCAAACCGATGCTACCGAATCAATGGCAAGCAGACGCCGTGCAGACTTTTGTCATCCGTCATGCCCATGCCTCAAGATGCAAGCGCCTCTGCAATCTTGCTCACTTGAAGGCAGGCAAGGGCGTCACGGCTATGTCTTTCTTGCAGCCCATGCCCCAGATTCAGATCTGCTGCAGTTGTTCCGGGCGAGGCTCCTGTCAGCATGAGATCTTCTTGGCTGATGTTTCTTTGGCAGTTCAAAGGTGTTGCCAAAGCATTGGCCTTGAAGCGCACCTTGGCTAATCTCCAGCAGGATGTGAAACCTGCATGTCGCGAGGGTTTTTGCAGGTCACATGCAGTTTGTTCATGTTGTCGAGCCTGAAGTGACAGCCGCACTTAGGCTCCGGTAAGCATCAACCGCTTTTCTTCAGGATGAACTGGTGCCTCTAACCTGAGACCTGAGGAATGTCTTTCACTTCTCAGCAGCTATGCGGGCCTTCGCACAAAAAGGCGAATGGGCACATGCCCTGCGCCTTCTGCAAGTCATGGAGAACCAGTTAGTACAGAGCAACATCATTGCTCACAGCTCTGCCATGACGGCTTGCGAGAAAGCTGGAAGGTGGGCTGAGGCGGTCACCGATTTCCTTTATGGCCTGAGATGGATCAAATTCTGCTTTGTGTACTTTTCAGGCCTTGGTGATTTTGCAGTCAGCGCGCTGTATGGAGCTCGACACGGTGGCCTTCAACTCCGCAATCTCAGCCTGCGGAAAAGCCGGTAAATGGAAAGTGGCGCTCTTTGTTTTGAGCGTTTTGAAGGATTGGTCAGTGCAATGGACTTGTGTAGAGTACTGTAGAGTGTAGAGCCTTGAGTCCGGTTGCACTCTGGCCGTTTCTTGTGCAGGAGGAGAGGCTTGAAGTCAGCTGTGTGTCATACGGTGCCGCCATCAGCGCCTGCGAGAAAGGTCTTGCATGGTTGGGGCCTCGCTCTACATTTGTTGCAGCTTCACAGGTTTTTCATGTTCTGTCTGAAGCCAGGCAAGAAGGGAGTGTGAATTTGCTTGAAAGTTCGAACAAGTTGGGCTTCAGCATTCTAGGTAACGACACACACACACACACGTGAAACTGTTTTCAACTGCAAAGAGTTGAAGGAGACGTTGCTCCCACGTGCTCAACGCAGGATCAAGCTTGTTGGATATGGGCCTGAGCCGTTATGAAGCTTTCTGCCTATCAGAAGTGAAGACCATCACACTTGTCTTGCATCCAAAGCGAACCTTTGACGACACAACGTGAAACTCATTGCTCCGACTTGCTCAGCGCAGCATCAAGGTTGTTGGATGTGGGCTGGAACCTGTTATGAAGCTGGTTGCTTATCATAAGTGACGAGCAAGCTTGTCTTGATTTCAAAATGAAACGTTGACAACATAGCTGAATTGTTGAAGAACTTATTGTAACTTAAGTCAGTAGAAAAACCTTTGCTCCCAGGAATCACCAAAAAGGAACGATCATCATCAGTCAAAGTTAGCCACTGCCAGTATCTTCATGCAATCACCACATGTGCTGCCTACGAGCTTCTCATGCTCAATCACAATCTCCACATCATTATGCTGTTGCGTATCAATCCCGCCCCCCCACCATTGCTTCAGCGCCTCTTGATAGCCTCTTCGGTGGATGTGCACTATCAA